CTGAAGACAATTAAGTTCAGTTTGAATGGTGTTAGCAGAACCCCATTTTTTCAATTTGATAGCAGCTTTGAATTTTTTCAATTTATTGGAAAAATCCATCAGTGGATTTCCAATAGTGGGCTGAATGAAGGTTTCAAGCATAAGACCCCAGTAATCATCATAAGAAGTCCAGAAATTTTTAAACTGAAAACGGGAATAGATGATTTCAGGATTGCCATTTTTAAGGATTATGGGATTGTGATCAGAACAAAGAGGCATATCCACATAATAATAAGATAGCGGAAATCTCTCTATCCAAGCTTCATTCACAATAGCCTTGTCTAGCTTAATGTGGATAGAATTCTCTACTTGTTGATTGAACCAAGTATAAAAAAGCCCTGAAGAAGAGAGGTCAATAAGTTGATTATCAAAAACAAAAGAATTGAAGTCTCCCGTCCGGCTATGGTGTAGAGGAGATCCCCCAATCTTCTCATTTTGATACCTACAACAATTAAAGTCTCCCATGATAATCCACGGAATATCTGGGGAAGGAGAGTTGGATTGTAGTTGTTGCCAAAGTAACTTTCTCTCATCCGCTGAGTTAGAGCCGTAAACAGCACTAAAAAAGAAGTTGTTGGACGAGTTGTTAGAAACAAAACCACAGATTAGCTGAGGGGAGAAGAAAGTGGGGATGAAAGAGATTCTATCTCTAGCCCACTTAATCCAAATTCTGCCCGATACAGATTGATTAAAGTTGTTGCAACTTTCTTCTGAATCGAAAACATTGTGAGAGGTAATAAACCAATGATCAGACATAGAACTCGCATGAATTCTATTCTCCAAGATGCAGATAAGATCCAGCTTATGAGCTTTAATAATTTGCTTACAAACATTGACTTTGCTAGGGCTATTGAACCCCCTAATGTTCTAGGAAGCAATGAGAGGAAGGGTCATTGAGATTTGGAGGATGTTTGTTGAGGCTTCTTATGCTTGCCTCTGGTATTTTTAGTTGTTGATGATGAAGGGGGTTGGGGTGCACTGGTGATTCTATTTTTTGGCTGTTTTATAGCTTCATTCTCCCTATTAGATAAGTGATTGAGAATCGGTTCCTTATCCGTGCAAAGGACATCAGATTGAATATCCAAAAGTGCATCAAATTTATTGGGGGAGACAAGGTCAGTTGCGTGCTTCTGTGGAACAAAGTGGTTGATAGAGGTGATAACATTATCATCGGTGGGTGAGTTGAGATTGGGAATGTTGACAGTTGGAGGAGGTAAAGGTTTTGAAGCGGATGATTGGTCGGCTGCATTTTGGGGTATAGAAATTGGGGATGAGGAGGTAGAAGGAATGTCAACAAGAGGATTGTTGACAGGAGGATCTATGGCATTTTGAGCAGGTTTGGTGTTCGGGTGGGGAGGTAAAACCTTTGGACGGCTAGTAGGATTAGTACTTTTTCCCCGGTTGGTAGGCGGGGCACGAGAAGAGCTTCTGCCTCTAGGATAAGCAGCTTTTTTGGCATTTCCCTCCATTAGGTTGTTGGGGTTAGAGGGGCAGGAAGCGGTAGAATGAAACAGAGATTCACATGATTCACAAGGGGAAGGTCTCCATTCATATTGAATTTTGACATTCATGATTTCATCTTCTATAGATATAGGAATGAACTCCGGATATTTGGTTTTGCTATTAACCTGGATACAGACACGGGCATATGTCAACCTGGTTTTCTGGGCAGTGAGTGCATCAACAGCCAATGGTATACCAATTTTGCTAGCAATGCGGGAGATACCCTCAGAGTTCCAGACACAAAGGGGAAGGTCTATCAGCTTGACCCAAATCGGCACAGAAGTGAACTTTTCTCTAACAGGTTTAAAGCGCGGATACCATTTTTGCAGAATAAAGGGGCGACTTAGAATGAACCAGACTCCCCCATTCCAAGCCATTTCATAATCAACAGGCGAGGAGAACTTTATCAGAAAAAAACCGTCGCTTAGGTTAAAAAGCTGGATATTACCTTGGAGTCTCCAAGTTTTCTTTAGGGCAGCTAGAAGGGCCTCGTAGTAAGGCCGCCTACCTACCGAGAAGCCTACCAGAGATTGGCTCCATTCTTCCGCAGCAGCATCTGTTTTGGCTTTCTGAAAAATAAGAACTTCATCTGGTTCTTCACGAAGATCAACCGGGAGATCTTTTGAAGAAAGACACTCAGGAGTAACGACGTTCGTCCAAGACCGGGGAGGGAGGTGTGCGGTAGGAGCACTGGTGGAGTGTAGAGAGAGAGGAGGAAAATCATGCTCCTGGAGATGGGAACCCATGGGTAGGGAAACCCCTCGCAGGGAGTGAGAGGGCGGAGGCGGCAAAACAAGGCGGCAAAAGCAACGGAGACCCTTGCAAACCCTAGCAGGAGTCTAAACGAAAAATCTATTTTTAAAATTTGTCCGCCCTATCTAATTTAATTTTAATGATTAATTTGATCTATGTTTCTCAAAAAAATTAATTAATGTAATATTAACTATTTTGATTATATTTAGGTTTTGTTTGAGACAACATTCTCGTTGTTTTTTAAAGGAGCCATCCCAAATGAAATCTTAGGCTTCGTTTGGGGCGGCTTTCTTGCTGCTTCTTAAAGCAATTTTTTAGTGCAAATATTTTAATTTTTATACTACAAAGCTGCTTGAAGAAGCATTAAAAAATTCATCCCAAACGAAGCCTTAATCTTTATTTTTTATAATTTTCTATTAGTATGTTATAAGAAATAGTTAGAGAACATAGGGCCTTTTGGAGGATCAACTACCATCATGACATTTGGACACTATATCATACTAATAATATTAAAATAATAATTATTAGTATTATTAAAATATTAATGCTTCATTCAGGACAATTTTGTTATTGTTTATAAGGCAGCTTTCTAATACATTTTTTAAAAAATTTAAAAATTTTGTGCTCGAAAACTGTTTTAGAAACCAGGAAGAAAGCTGTCACAAACGAAGCCTAAATTCAATATATAATCATAATTTTACTTATTAGTGTTTTTTTTTAGATTTATTAGAATTGGTATTTAGGCAACTTCATTTGTCTCACAATATGCTTATTAAAAATAATATTCAAATTATATACAATTTTATATATGATTAGAATAATAATCAATAATAATATACCAATTCAATAATCATTAATTTAGAATAAAAATATCAAATCCAATTAGTCTAATTAATTAAATTTCCCAAAAAAAAAATAGTCTAATTAATTAAAATTTTTTTAAAATAAATACAAGCTAAATAATATCAAATTGAAATATAAAAATCATTTTTTTAATTTTTTGTGGGGGAAGGGGGATTAAAAAATCATTTATTAAATATTTAAGTTTTTAAATCAAATATATTGATTTTGCATGTTCTGATTTGGGAAAAAGAAGATTTGATTTTGATTTTAAATTCAATTTAATTTAATTTTGAACGGAGATTGAATTGAATAATCAATAATAATATACCAATTCAATAATCATTAATTTAGAATAAAAATATCAAATCCAATTAGTCTAATTAATTAAAATTTATTTAAAATAAATACAAGCTAAATAATATCAAATTGAAATATAAAAATATATATTTTTTTATTTTTTGTGGGGTAAGGGGGATTAAAAAATCATTTATTAAATATTTAAGTTTTTAAACCAAATATATTGGTTTTGCTCGTTCTGATTTGGGAAAAAGAAGATTTGATTTTGATTTTAAATTCAATTTAATTTAATTTTGAACGGAGATTGAATTGATGACAGCTAAGGATGACCGTTAAATTTCGGAAAGTAGTGGGAAACGCGTTTCTCACAAGTAGATTCGATTCACAGAGGACCGCAGGGGCTTATAAATGGAACCAACGAGAGGCTGGCTTAATTCGTCCGCAAGAAGTTGCTAAAAGTGCTCGTCTTTCTCTCTGCCGGAGCGGTCCTAGGGTTTTGTTTTGCAACTAGGTCGGTGAGGCGCTACGTCTGCGCGAAAGAATATATTTTTCACCATTTTTATTGTAAGTTTTCTCATCAGGGATCTTAAATTCCCTTCTTTTCCTGCATTTGTTCGGTTCTTTGTTGCGGACTTGTTTTTCGGTTGGATCTCTTCTTCTCTGGCTGTCTTTGTTGCTTTGATATGCGTTGGTAATGCAAATTCTTCTTTCGTGGTTTGAATTTGTGAATTTTATCTTCTGTAGTTTCGATTCTTTAGTTTGATACGGTAACATTCGCAGCCTTAACGTTCTCTTCGGACTCATTGATTCCGTTGATTGTATCTTAAAAAAAAATTCTTTTGAATCTGGACATTTCTTTTAGGCAATGGGTTGAATATATTATATAATCGTACCATTAGCTTGAGATATACTAAGTTTCTGATATGTTTTTTTGGTGTTCTAGTTTTATTTTACACATCATCGTCTTCCTTTGGCTATGATCGTGCATATTGATGTGTATATATGGCCTTTATAATGTTAATAGGGTTAATTTTCTTGCAGGAAGTTCATTCTACAGGAAAACAACCTTTAATCTTTTGAATTTCAACGGTGTCATCCATTGTCTTCAATATGTTATTTTTGTAGATTTTTTGGTTTATATTTCTTTTGTTTGGTATATTTTTGATGTGAAAGTATCGTATTTACGCACTTTGATATGATCAAACTAGAAGCTTGACATTTTTTTTTATTAAATTTGCAAGATCGCTTCTAAAGAAACTAGCATAATAACACCTCATTTTTTTATTGTGATGGTACAGGACGTTTGGATGTTTTAATGGAGTCAAAAGGTGGGAAGAAGAAATCCAGTAGTAATTCCTTACAGTACGAAATTCCCCTAGGCTACAGCATTGAGGATGTTCGACCCAATGGTGGAGTGAAGAAGTTCCAGTCTGCTGCTTACTCCAACGTAATGAACTTAAACATATCCATTATTCATGTTCCGTTTAAGATTTCTATGATAATTCTGATGGATTTTAATCTCTTACGTTTGTTTGGTGTATTTTGCAGTGCGCTAGGAAGCCTTCTTGATAAGCTTGCTGGTTCTTCCTTGATTAGTGCAGGGATTTCCCTGTACTATAGCTTTGATTCCACTGCTTAATTGCTCACAAGTAACCATAACCACTGTTTTCGACCTCGTCTTCTGTCTTGTCCTCCTTTCTTCTGCTGCATCGTCTGTTTGCTCTATCAAAGCTTGAAATTGATGGCCTCCTCTCCGATCGGATTCGAGGGCTATGAGAAGCGTCTTGAGATCACCTTCTCAGAAGCCCCGTTGCTAGCCGATCCTCATGGTCGTGGACTTCGTGCTCTTAGCCGGTCCCAAATTGACTCCATTCTGGAGCCAGCAAAATGCACCGTTGTTGCAAAGCTGTCCAACATGGACTTTGATTCCTATGTGCTCTCTGAATCGAGCCTCTTTGTGTACCCATGCAAGATAATTCTGAAGACCTGTGGTACAACAAGGCTCCTACTGTCAATTCCTGTGATCCTCAATCTGGCTGCTGAGCTTTCACTTTCTGTTATGGCAGTGAAGTACTCCAGAGGAAGCTTCAAATTCCCTGGAGCCCAGCCTGCTCCTCATCGAAGCTTCTCAGAGGAAGTCGGGGCTCTTAATCTGTTCTTTGGCCGCCTTGCATCTGGTGGGGCTGCTTATGTTATCGGTAATCCATCCGTGCCAAACCAGAACTGGCATGTTTATTATGCAACCGAGAAACCTGAACTTCCTATGGTGGCAATTGAGATGTGCATGACTGGATTGCACAGTGAGAAAGCTATGATCTTCTACAAGAATTCTGATCTTGGTAATGCTTCATCTGCTAAAGAGATGACTGCAAGCTCTGGTATTTCTCATATCATCCCTGAAATGGAAATATGTGACTTTGAATTTGAGCCCTGTGGATATTCAATGAATGGAATCAACGGTAAAGCTCTTTCAACCATCCATGTCACACCAGAGGAAGGATTCAGTTATGCAAGCTATGAAGCTATGGGGTTTGAACCAAGCATGATCAGCTATCGCAATCTGATTGAGAGGGTTCTTAGGTGCTTTGAACCTGCAAATTTCTCTGTGGCAGTCACAATCTTTGGTGGGCGCCCCTTTGCCTGTTCATTTGGTCGGAAGTTAGATACTCATGGATACAAGCGCAATGATCATGTGGAACAGGAACTTGCAGGTGGTGGACTGCTCTTGTACCAAAGCTTCTCTGTTGCATCCATGGATGAGGCAACCTCTCCAAGGTCTATCCTGTATTGCTGGGAGGAAGAGGCTGTGGAAGAGGAGAAGAGTATGAAGGAGATGGAGCTCTGAGCGTTGTTATGGTTATTGGTGAATGAGAATTTCTGGTGTTGCTATATAGTAAATGTCTGCTAGATGGGATTTGCTTGTCAAATCTCCATCAGGGTACTGTTACTTTTGATTTGTTTTTCCTTTGCATGGTTCCTGCTACTGTTCTTGTTTAAGAAAAACTCATTGTGGCAATTGTCTTGTGCCCTTGTCCTGTTTGCTCACAGAGCAGAAATGTCGTCTGTTGTTGGTGTTTGCTTATGATTATGAGTTTGTTTGGATTTGAGTAAGCTTTTCCATAAATTTGTGTTTGCTTATGATTTTGTTTGAAATTCTTTTCATATTGGCTTGGATACAAAATTTCGAAGAAAAAAAAATATTTTTTCTGTATATTCAAGTATTGAATTTTCAGGAAAAAATAATCGTCACTGATAGGTTTATGCAAGGTTTTTTTTTTGACTAATCAAGATCTGATAATTAAAAAAAATGTTAGAATTTAATTTTTCAATAATAAGATTAGTTAAGTTTGACAAAACAATATTTAATGGAGCCAATTTATAAATAAATAAAATTTGGCTCGATATTGAATATGATTATAAAGGTGTTATGGGAAAATTTATTTGTTTTTTATCGTCATTGTGATTATTATAAATATATTTTAAAAAAAGTTACTTTTTGTAAGCTATCATAAATAAATATTTTAAGCATAAAATTAAGTTAAGTGTTGCAGAGAATATGATGTTTACATGGATGAGTGACTTTACTCTCAGAGACAATGCAAAACAAGCATATATTGGAAAAGGTTGGACTAGCTTCAGTGGCAAATAAGATTAGAGAGAGTCGCCTTAGATGAGGCATTGTTTGTTACGACTTTTCTATTGCTTATTAAAATAAAGTTTTAGTACAAAAATTAAAATTTTATGTACTAAAACTTTGCTTTCAAAATGAAGCTTTAATCACATAAATGTTGGCTTTTTTATTACTCAGTTAGGAGAGTATATGTATTAGATTTGTTCTATGTTAAGAAAGATAGATGTAGACTTAAAAAGATTAAGGCTTCGTTTGAGAAATATTTCGTAATGTTTTATAAAACAGAGTTTTAGAAAAAAAAAATTGTACTAAAACTCTGTTTCATAAAACAATAAGAAAGCATTTCCAAATGAAACGTAAGTTAGAAATATTATAAATGATATATTTTATTAGATTTAAATGAGAATTTGACTCTTAACATAACACACTAACAAAATGATTCATGTAGACGATCCCACCTACTGGGATAAGGGCTTTGATGTTCTTATTGTTGGTGATGGTGGTAGTTATAAACAAATATTTTCTTATCACAAAATTTTTAAAAAAAGCAGTAAAAAAGTAATAAAAAATAATAGTCAAATAGAATTATACTTAAGTTCTAAAAAATATAGTAGTTAGAACTCGGTAAGAAACGAACCCTAAATCTAACTAATTTACATACAAGCGAAAAAATAATAAGAAAGTAGTAATCAAATAGAATTATAATTAAAATTTGAAAAAAATCCTGAATATGAGAAATCTATAGAACTATTTTAAAATAATATTATGCACATATTGCTCACATGAAAACCAAGGTGTTATTATTAGCCAGTGGAATATTTGATAGAGATATAAAGTTGGGAATATATCACTGTTATATAAAGTTCTTAACTGATGGACATAAGAGAACTCTTCTTTTTTTTAAAAAAAAAAATAAATGATTGGTCTCTAAGCTAAGAATCTTACTCTGCGGAAGTCAATAATGGCTCCTCACCTTCCAATTTTTTATTATTTTATTTTCATTTTTTAAATTTCTATCTTTTTTTTTCTTATAGCATTTCTTGTAATTAAATTAATCATACTCTTTATTTTGTAATATTAATATATATTTTTAATAGTTTGTAATTAAAGGTGATATAAATTTAATAAATAAAATTATTCATTTAAAAAATATCATGATGGAATTAAAAAAAAAATCAAATTTCATAGCCTAGCTCACACTAACTTTTTTTTTTCTTTATTTCCTCTCTTGAGACCTTTTCAACCTAAACACACCAATTTAATAATAAAAAAAAGATTAGATTAAGAGTATGTTTGAAAAAACTTTATTTTTGTTTTACTTTTTAAATCATAATTATAATTCGGTTTGACTATTACTCTTTGTTTCTTTTTATAGTAGCTTTAAAAAAAAATTATTTTCTACATAATAGATTTTCAAACACATTCATAAAAAACTATAGCTGCAAATATACCCTAAGAACCATTGAATTTAAATTGAGATTAGTATTTTTTAATCTAATAAATACTAATAAAAATAATCCTAAAAGAATTCTTAACTTTGTTAGATTTCCTTTTGAATTTGCATGTTTTTTTAGCTATAGTAGGAAATATTTGATTTATTTAGTACTTATTGTTTGAAGTTTTATGTTGGTTTTATTTTTGAATTCAATAAAAAGTTGACTGAAAATTGTTTGTTATTTTGTTAATAGATGAGAGATTTTTTTGTTTAGTTTTATTGTATTTATTTTAAAATCTCATAATGCATTAGTAATTTATTTTTAGATGTTTAACCTAACATTTTATAGGTTTTCTTTATTTTTTTTTTAATGTTGGAGATTGTGCTGATGAATTTGTTAACTGTTAAATGAGCTTTAAATTATTTTTCTTATCACATGACTAATCATCATTCTAATTAGTTTTGTGTGCATGGTTGTTTGTCCCTCGTATAGTTTTGTCCCAATTTTGTGTGCAGCCACATATTATTAGCTACATATCTAAGAAATAAATTAACTCCCAACTACTTGCTCGTGCGAAGATCAGTGCCTACGCAAAATAACTTCTAGAAATAGTATTTGGAGAAATAACATTGTAATAGTAAAAAATAGTTAGACAGTAAGAGGATATTTGCTGTGAAACATGATCCTCATTAAAAGAGTTTATCAGAGAAAATGATGAATATGATCTCCATTCAAAATATTTGAAAAATCAAAATAGGAATAAAACACTAAAAGATGATTTTTATTAGACAATAACTTCTAAAAGTCTTTAGCTTTGGTCCCTATGGGCCCTATTGTTTCGAATATTGAGATTGTTAATGCTGGAGATTTTAATGAGGAGTCTTGTAATCCTGTAGTGAGTGTTGTTTCTAGTGGTTTTAAGGAGGGTGCTTGTATCAATTTGGGTATTACGGGCATTGATTCTATTGGTCTTACTATGGGTGTCATGAGCCATATCCCTTGCTTGATTAATCATGTTTCTACTCCGATTCCTTCTCCTACTAATGTTGATGTTGATGATGAGGAAGAATTTTGTTTTGATTCTTTGAAGCTAGTTAGTATGACTCCAAACTCTATTGATGATTTTGGTCAGGATGGTGTTGTGAATTTAGATTCTAATCCTTTAGAGCTGTATGTTATTTGTGATGCTTTGACTATTAAGGGTGTTGAGGTTTTGGTTGTTCATGAAGGGAGTGTGGTCGGGTATGCAATTAGTATTTTTGTTAACTTAGCTTTACAGACAACTTTCATTGATATTCCCTATTTTGGTTGTGTCCAATGCGGAGTTGAAAGCCCATTTGGCCTTGTCAGCGAGTAACTCTTGTTTGGATTATTCTGATTGGTTAAGTGTGTCCGATGTTGAGGTTGACTAGAATGCAAATGATTTTCAAGATCCTCAAGATATGTATAATTTCATGGCATGTCGAATAGTTGATCATGCTATTTCAAGTGGTGCTAGAAAAAGATCTAAAAGTAAATCTAAGAAAAAATAGTGATTCCTGCTGTGCTTGGTTTGACTTTTCTATTGGTTTACAGACTATGATGAGGCAATTCTGCTTAACCCTTGGTTGCCCTTGAGCTAGCAACCTTGGTGGTTAGTGTGGTTATCTCAGTGCCTTTTGTGGTGTTGCTTATTGAACTTCGGTCGGTTGCTTTGTGGCTTATTACCACCAATATATGGTCATTTCTTTGCTACTCGGTGGATGCAGGATTGTCATATGAAGTCCTTTTGGGTGTAGCATCCTTTGATTTTTAGTGGTCTGTTATGCAGCGTAGTATTGTCAGCGGCTAGTAGTTTGGAAACGTTAGTCTCTTTGTTGTAAGTGTGTGATTTTGGCTTTGTGCGGTTGTTGTACTCTTCCTTTAATTGAATAAAATTATGACTAGTCCCTTTATAAAAAAAAAACCCTTCTAAAAGTCTTAAAAAAAAAAAAGAAAAGGAAAGAAAAGTAAAAGGTATATTTCTCTTATTTTCTCTATTATGGGACACTAATAGAAGTAATTTAATCTGAAATGAACTTTTTGATATATCTTTTGAAAGAAAATAAATAAAAGGTATATTTATCCAATTTTCTCTATTATGTTATGGGACACAAAAAGTCAAAATTTCATTATTAAGGCTTCATTTGGACAACTTTCTAATTGTTTTCGAAAGCAGCTTTGTAGAACAAAATTTTTACAGTTTAAAAAATTTTAATACTAAAAGATTGCTTTAAGAAGCAGTACGAAAGCTGTCCCAAACGAAGCCTAAATCTCTTTTAAAATTAATTTTATACATTTAATATATAAAAATACCTAATAATTTTCTATAAAAAATATTTTTTTTTTTTTAATTTTCTCAAACTCTCAAGTTCTCTCATTTTATTCCTTTAATAAGAAAGGAAATTTACTAAAAAAATTTAAAATCAGGAAAAAAAATTTGAAGATTGCATTCAATTAATGTCTAATATATCCATTATAATCACTAACTTATAAAATACTTTTTTTATTTTTTCTCCTTAATTAACTTACAAGATATAAAAAAAAAGAAGAAGAATTCTACTACAACAACAACAACAACAACATCAAGCCTTTATCCCACTACGTGGGGTCGGCTACATGAATCCATTTTCTCCATTGTGTCCTATTAAAAGTCAAATTCTCGTTTAAATCTAATAAGAAAGGTCATTCCTAATATTTTCTAACCAAGTCTTTTTAGGTCTACCCCTACCTTTCTTAACATAAGTCAAATCTAATACCTCTACTCTCCTAACCGGGACGTCATCACAAGGCCGCCGTTTTATGTGACCAAACCATCTAAGGCGACTTTCTCTAATCTTATCTTCTATTGGAGCTACTCCAACCTTTTCACGTATATGCTCAAAATTATGTGTTTCTATGTGAAAAAAAAAAGGATTTAGTTGGTCCTAACTTTTATTCTGCTTGTTTGGTGTGTTCGTTGTAGTATCATATGCTAATATTAATAATATCAGCATTTCTAATGCTTGAAACCTTCTTTCCCAATTCCCTACCCATGTT